GTGTCTCTTGATCAGCGAGTGTAGCTGATCGCAGCGAGCGCCCTACTTAACGCCCGCGTCGGACGGTGAGTTGCGCCGCCCCTGCCTACCTTCTGTACGCGCCCCGTTATTCGCTAAATATTTTCTCCAGTAATTCAAAAAGTAAGCTTCGGACAAAATTTTCGTACAGGAAAAATTGTCTTAAAATCACTTCAAAAATACGTCTTTACAAGGACGCGGGGTTGTTCTGAATCACCCTGTATATATATATATTTATTTATTTATTTATTTATAAATATAAAAATTAAAATTTGTAAATATAAACGTAAATGTAACGTATAGCGCATCGTCGATTTGCCAACGCGAGACTCGGCATTCGGCGAGACGCGAGAAGCGATACCCGAAATGCATGGCATCGTGGCATAGCCGGCGCGTGCTAAGCAGCTACGTCACAGCTCAAGCAAAAAGGAGACAGCAGATCGTATGTCTGCCCTTCTCTTCCCGCTCGAAGCTTGACGAGTGCCGAGTCAGCCGACTGGCACATCCCCTCCATCTGAGTAGTTCGGACACGAACCATAGCACGGACACGAACCATGTGTGTACCGTTACCGAGCGTAATGACGTAGTTGACGTCCACTTTCTTAGGCGGCGCATCAGTATACGTCCGCTGGAACGGAATGATCCCGGTGGCCGCTCTCAGGTTTCTCTTTGTTATAGGTTATAATTTCTTCGAACGTCTCATTTTTATTCCAGGCTTTCAATCTCAATTTCAAAGGTACGTTATTGTTTGTGCACGTCTTCTGAAGAGTGGGAACATTTCATTTCGTACATATTACTTATACAACTGTTTATATTAGAAAATGAGGTAACAGCATTTTTAATTTTTGTTCAATTATTACTAATTATTTTACATTCCCACCCTTCATTAGTACTATACTTTACTCCTGTAAAAGGATTTTGCGATCTATAAAGCCGTTTCAAAATTAGACCTTTGACTGTAATTGTCGGTAATTGGGTCACTTTAGCATCCCCTTAAGGGGATGCTGGAGCCGTCTGTTTTACCGGCATTTTTTGTCGGCACGTAGCGTCGTATTAATTTGACAAAATTAAAAATCCTTCTCCAGAATTGCAGTACATACGTTAATGATTCGGGGGAACTCCGATTTTATATAGAAAACGAGAAAAAATTACGGAAGTACAGATTTCCTTATCCTACTTTTATCCCAATATGGCGTCTCGAGTTGCGGCGAGCTGTCAGCTCGTCACAAGATGTATTTCATATAAAAGATATACCATTGGTACGAACGCGAAAACAAGTTCCCCCGAATTGCACAACAAGAAAAACATCGATAAACCCTCCAAATCAAGATTTGGAAGCGTAATATAAAAGTATAATGTCGATGTGCATTGTGCGTATGTGTGCGTGCAATGTAACGTGCTATCCATGTCTATATCTTTGTCTATACAAGGACAGATATAGTCGATAACATAGAAAATGGCAATTTTGTCGGTTATACAGACGGCTCCAGCATCCCCTTAAGGATGTATCACTGGTACAATCTTAGACAAAAGTGCATGAAATTTGAAATACTTGAATATCTACGCCTAACGCATAGTAAATCTAGATGTAAGATACTCAAATGATAGTAGGAGTCTTATTTTTACTCCTACAAAGGTATTTTTTACTTTACAAATGTTTTTTCCAGTATTATTTGCGATTTTTGTAATTTATGAGCCTAAACTTTTGGCAGTAAAAATGCCCTGATTTCAACTTCATAACGTCAAATTATTAATAAAATTAATAATTAATTATTAATTAATAATTAATTATCATTAATTATTAATTTATTTCTTTAAAACGGTGTAGTGAAGACAATTGAAACTTGACAGATAGTTTCATCTATTCGTATACTAGATGTACAAAAAAATTCAAAATATTGGTAGCGCTCCTTCAACATTTTTTTAGCTGTTTTATCCGTCAAAATCGTCTCTTCCCATAAAAATACGTGTAAAATCAGTGAAAATTAAAATCGTTATGTCTCAGCAACCGTTTAGTGGATTCGTTTCTACTTTTTTTGTAGCACATCAGGAAGACTAAAAGAACATTCTCACAAATTTTTATCCACTTGGTAGCGCTTTGAAAATAGGTGCAATACATCCTTAAAGCGAGGTACATTTCACACCCGGGCACGCCGTAGGCGTGCCCTAGGGGGAGTGCGGGGGGGCAAAGCCCCCCCGCCCACGCCTCAACATCCATGCACACCCATATGTGCATGGGGGTATGGGGAGGGTGCGGGGGGGGGGGCGAAGCCCTTCCCCGCTCACGCATGTACTTCGGTATACGCATGTGGTCACGAGGCATGTTCTTAAAACTGCATTCTCTATACTGTATAATTACATTTTTTTATTATGTTGTGTATAGCAGTAGGCTCAACTTCTGAATAGCCCCTTTCTCCGAATTTTATGAAACTTCCACCAATTGTTGACCATTAGTGTCATTAGGTGGTTCTTTAATGCTCTACACAATTGCTGCAAGTTTCATTAAATTTGGAGATAGGGGCTATTCAAAAGTCTTACCTTTTAGTTATGTCATTGTTGTAGCAAATGCGAGTGATATGTGTATTTTATCGTAACAATAGTTAATTCTTAAAATTATTTTGGCTTTGAACAATATTCAAAATAATTCAAAAAATTATTATTATTCAAAGTGATTTGATGTATTTTACGCCTATCGTTAATTAAAAGTCTTTTATTTATATTTTAAATTAAATGATATGTAACAGGTATCTCGTTATTGGGTACACCAACGGAGATTTATGTACATGGCACAAGTTATCTATTCTTGTGTTGTACGGCCTTCTTTGTCACCTTTGCCACGTCTGTCGTATATCTGCCAGTTTTTCACGAGCTCAAACTCACCAGCACTTATGAATACCTCGAGAAGCGTTTCGATAAAAGAATAAGATTGCTAGGTTCAGTCCTCTTTGCCATCAGTATTGTAAGTAAAGCCAGAAAATCATATTTGTATAAATCTTTCCATAAGTGTGCATCTTAAGTGATATATCGATACACAATGGTTTTTTTTAGATAACTTGGCTTCCGATTGTCATCTACGTACCTGCATTGGCCTTCAATCAAGGTATATAAGGTTCCAAACAAAAGTTCAATGAAAATTTCATAGAGAATTAATCCAATAATTTCTGAATTTGCACATATTCGAGTTTAATGAATAATTATAATTATGCATGCCCGTGCATGTGTAATTTTAACTTGTTTGAAAATATGTCGTGCAAATATGGAAATCACAATGCGGTATCATTATATAAAAAATCATTTCAGATTTCTCTATTTTCAGTCACCGGAGTAAATGTACACATAGTTACACCCTTTGTATGCATCGTTTGCATATTTTACACCTGTGTGGTAAGATAATTGACTTAAAAAATATAAAAAAGAAAACAAATAAAAGATATAAGAAAATAAACGCATGTAATGACGTAAAGAATTTCAAATTAAAACTAAATGAGTATACTCTTGCATACTCTTTATATTTTTTCTTTATTTTTTTTAAATAAAATAAATATTTAATTTTAATTGAATTATTTATCATATAATTGGATTGATCCCTCGGATCGATATATAACAAATAATAAATCCAACATAATAGCATTTAGAAAATAATTTAAAAATTTTTATATTTAGTATAACTTTGTTGAAAGATTTTATTATTTTATTCAGGGTGGCCTCAAGGCAGTAGTATGGACAGATTTCTTTCAGACTTTTATTATGTTCGGCTCCATGTTGTTAATTACAATTAAGGGAACAGTGGATGTTGGTGGATTGTCGCTAGTAATTCGAAGAAATCTGGAATCCGGAAGACTCGAATTACCTACGTACGTGCATTAAACGATAACTTTACCTAATTGATAACGATACAATAATAAATCTGTTCGTGTTACTTGCATTCTATACATACTTCATTCTTTCTCTCTTTAATGTTCGAACATACATTCCATCTAGTTTTAGATAAAGAAAGTATTAAAGACACAGTGTCATTAGGGGAGACACTCGGAAGAGCTAAAAATACGTCTATTTTTATGAATTCTTTTACGAAAACTATTAATGTCATTCCAGCGAGATTTTCACCAATTTTTAAAATACATATTTTGATATGTAACACAAAATTTTGAAATAAAAATATTAATAAATAACATCAAGCACGCGGCCTGGTTTATCAGTTTTGCTGTAGCAGTGTGCAGTATGTAACTATTGTCGCTTTTATAAAATTTATCTAAAATAAGAAAATTAAAAAAATTCTTAAAAATATGAATAAATCTAGTCTTTGTCTCATAGCTAATTAAAAAAAATCTTCAATTTTGACAAACTGACAGGATTTCCCCAGATATTTTGATTACCGTTTTTAAAACAGTTTTAAGAAAAACACATTCAAAGTTTAAACTGCATGAAAGACAAGCTATTGACGAGAAAAAAGGTATTGTATTTTCTAAGATAAGGATTAATAACAGACAGGCTATTCTTGAGCAATCTTATCAAAAGGTTTCTAAAGATCATTGATTATAGAAATACATGGACGGAGCCATAGCTGCTATGTAGATAAGGAGATGATAATACACTTAAGACGTAAGATGTAAGACGTAAGACGTAAGATAGGGGACCAGGACATTGAATTCAATAAACTTGGATTATCTTCGGTAGGATTCGGCTCATATATGTGCGTGCGCGCGCGCGCGCGTGTGATGTGTATGTATATTAGTGTCCTAAAATTCGCGGACACGAAATGCACAACGTGATTGTCTCTGCTAAAAGAAACGATTTTTTCCTTTGGCAAAATTGCGTCTAAACTACTTTTTAAATAAGAGCAATTTGAAGCTAACGAATGAGCGCCTAGGTTACACATAACTCAGGGGCGGCGCGCGTGGCGTTTGAGCGTGTACGTATATGTGTCAATGGATATATGATAACTACCGTATACTATCCGATCCAAAATGTTTCTTTTTTTGATCATAACAATCATTTAAATATGAACCTATTTTGATACTGCAAACATTTGAAACCATCTTTGATATATATTGTATACTAAAAATTGTAGTTTAAATTTCGAAAAAGCTCATATCTAAATGATCATTTATGATTAAAAAAAAAGAAAAATTTTGGATTGGATAGTATATGGTAGTTATTAAACCAGATTACAAACTGCCGTGTAAACGTAGTCAATAATGCCTTTCACTTGAGGTTAGGTCAGTATTCATAGTCGGATCTTATATTTAAGACCGTCTTAAGTACAATCTTAAGATGTCATGAACCAATCACAGAGCCGTACTAACATCTTAAGACATTACTTAAAACAGTCATAAGATCCGACTATGAATACGGGCCTTAGTCGCGTTCAGATCAGACACAGACGTCTAGGCTGCATCATTCTATCTTTATCGCTCATCAGGTGTAAAACAAAGATAGAATAAGCAAATAGCGTTAATAGCGCGCTCTCCGAACGTAGAGTTTTTATATAAGAGTTTGGCCACTGAAGCTATTTGGTAACAAAATGGCGTCTCGTATCTTATACAGGGACTCTAGCATTTAGAGTCAAGGACACTCAAAGACTGTGGTCGTCAGCTTTAACCTAAAAAAGAAAAAGGAGAAGGGGGCTTCTAATGGTCGCATTCTAATTGGTTTCGCCATTTTGTTACAAAAGGTTGATTAAGCCAATACGCGTGAGTCCACTCAGTGGCCAGACTCTTATATAGGGACTTTATCTAAACGCAGCCCTAATATTACCTAGACTGTTAGATTGCTATAGTTTAGTACAGGCACAGTATAACCATACTCAGTAGCGACAGTGAGTGTCGGCACCTTTGATGTAGTAGGTTTTGGTCACATGACTCGCCGCTATCTTCTGAGATGTACGAACACTTAAGAGAGAAAGAGAGAAAAGTATCTTTTTCTTTGTCATACATATAGGCCACCATATTCCTAGAGGAATTGGGACTCACTAAAAACGTTCAGTGTCGATGCTGGGTATGGTTACAGTGGTCTAGTTTTCACCGAAGTTGTTAATTCGCGCCTAGTGCGGCGTAGAACCAAATTTAAGTCGATGGAAACGTGACTGACTGCGCCTCAAAACGCAGTCAGTCACGTTTCCATCGACTTAAATTTGGTTCTACGCTGCACTAGGCGCGAATTAACGACTTCGGTGGAAACTAGACCACTGTTGTACAGGTTGCATTGAAGTCATTCGCCATCTTTGAAAGGACCACACATATAAATATTTTGTAATGCGTGTGATATTAACTAATCCTTTCAATGGTCATCTTTCCTCTACTCTTCCCCTACTCTACCTCTTGCCTTCACTTGTGGCCTCCCCTTTTGTGGCTTCATTCGCAAAGCCTGTATTAGCAGTCTAGGTAATATAGATGTCTGTGAGATTAGATAATAACTGAACATATCGCGTCTAGCTATTTCTGCATCATGACTGTTGGTTCAACCAAAAATGTAGTAAATTTATTGGTTGATCCAACAGTCATAATGCACAAATAGCTAGACGCGATGTGTTCAGTTATTATTTGACCCGAACGCGACTAACTTCAATGGGATACTTTTCTCTCTTTCTCTCTTAAGCATGTATCACTCATCACTGGTACAATCTTAGACAAAAGTGCATGAAATTTGAAATACTTGAATATCTATGCCTAACGCATAGTAAATCTAGATGTAAGATACTCAAATGATAGTAGGAGTCTTATTTTTACTCCTACAAAGGTATTTTTTACTTTACAAATGTTTTTTCCAGTATTATTTGCGATTTTTGTAATTTATGAGCCTAAACTTTTGGCAGTGAAAATGCCCTGATTTCAACTTTATAACGTCAAATTATTAATAAAATTAATAATTAATAATTAATAATTAATAATTGATGATTGATGATTGATGATTGATGATTGATGATTGATGATTGATGA